CCCCAGCCTGGCACCAGGGTATGTGGCCTGAGGTCGCTTGGCCCAGCGCCAGGGCAGGCAGCATGGCCTGAAGTCCCTTGTCAGATCCCGCTGGGATGGGAGGTGCGGCCTGAGGTCCCCTGGCCTGGGCGCTGGGACAGGGGGCGGGGTGCTGAGGTCCCCCAGCCTGGGCCAGGGCGGGGTGCATGCCTTGAGGTCCCCTGTCCCAGTCTGAGATCCTGGTGAAGCCTTGCTGGGTGGGGAGTCCAGCCTCGGGTGCCCTGTCAAGCCCCACCTGGTGGGGGTCCAGTCTCAGGTCTCCTGTCAAGCCCCGCTGGCAGGGGGTGTGGCCTGAGGTACTCCCGCCTGGGGTAAGGGGAGCACCCTGAAGTCCCCCGCCTCAGCACCGGGATGCGGGGGGCCGCAGCTTGACAAGCCCTGCTGGTTGGGGGATGTGGGCTGAGGTCCCCTGTCAAGCCCTACCAGGCGTGGGGTGCAGCCTGAGGTCCCCTGGCCCCGCACCAGGGCAGGGGGGTGCGGCCTGAGGTCCCCTGGCCCCGCACCAGGGCAGGGGGGTGCAGCCTGAGGTCCCCTGGCCCCGCACCAGGGCAGGGGGGTTCAGCCTGAGGTCCCCTGGCCCCGCACCAGGGCAGGGGGGTGCAGCCTGAGGTCCCTATCAAGCCCTGCCAGGCAAGGGCTCATGTTCAGGTCCCCTGCCCCAGCTCAGTGCCATGCATCCTCAGGTCCCTGCGGATTGTTATTTAAGGCTTGTTTTGGGAACTCAGCCTCTGCTGTGGGCGCAGCTGTCTTGTTTTATGGAAACAGCCTCCACTGTTGGGGCTGCCATCTTTGTGACGGTGTGATGGTCAATTTGCATATTCCCATTTTGTATAGGTGAGTAGATAGATTTGCACACCTGAGTGAGAGTTGTGAATCTACAGCGGAGTCTAGCTCAGTGGCTCTTTTCCGGGCTGCTCATTAGAATCAAGTCAGAAAAGTGATTATACATTACAGACCAATTAAATCAGAATCTCTCATAGGTGCGGCCTGAGGTCCTCAATCATCTTTCTTTTCTTTTTAAGCTCCTCATGTGAATCCAATATGTTGCAAGCTCATTGAGAACCTTTGGTATAATTAAAATTCTTTCTGTATGCCAATAAAAATTGTGTTTATTCCATACTAAGAGGCTGTTTTCTATACCCAGAAATATCGGTTCTAGGAATAATTAATGTCGTTTTTAAACATTCGTTTAAAATCTTGCTTGGCGTTGACTTGTATTGACATAACCTTCAAACACGTGGTATTTACAGAACGTGTGAAGTGCAATTAACAAGTTTTGCTTGAAAAAGTTTGTGTTTGGTTTTTGTTGCAAAACTGGGGCTAAGAAGATGGCGGATGAAGAGCATATTCGGCACTGCATGCTTTACGAGTTCCAATTAGGAAGAAAAGCAAGTGAGGCTGCAAAAAACATCTGTAGTGCTCTTGGTCAAGATGCAGTTAGCGCCAGAAAATGTCAGCGTTGGTTTGAGAAATTTCGCGAGGGAAATTTTTCATTAGATGACAAGAGTGGTCGAGGTCGTGTGTCCAATTTTGATCAAGAAGCTCTTCAAGCTCTTTTGGTGCAAAATCCTCAAATTACCCAACAAGAGCTTGCGACAACTTTAAATTGTTCACAAAAAACAATTTCCAGTCAATTGCGTGCACTTGGCAAAGTCCAAAAGTTTGGAAAATGGGTTTCTCATGAGTTGACCGACAACAACCGTAATCAAAGAGTCACAATTAGCAGTTCGCTCCTCTCTCGTCAAAACCGTTTGCCGATTTTAGAGCAAATTGTTACCGGAGATGAAAAATGGGTGCTGTATGTTAATTTGAAAAGGCGGCCTCAATGGTTGGACAAAAATGAGGCTCCGCAGCCCACGCCAAAACCTGACTTGCATGCGAAAAAAGTGATGTTGTGTGTTTGGTGGAATTTTAAAGGAATTCTTCATTATGAACTTTTACCATCTAACCAAACCATTACAAGTGCAGTATATAGTGCCCAAATGGAAAGGTTAGCCCAAGCTTTAAGAGAAAAAGAACCCGCGCTGATTAATCGGAAGGGCGTAATTCTTCACCACGATAATGCACGACCGCATACTGCAAGAATCACTGCTGAAAAACTGCGCCAGTTGGAATGGGAAGTTCTCCCTCAACCTGCATATTCTCCTGATATTGCCCCTTCCGATTACCATTTGTTTCGTTCTTTGCAAAACTTTCTTCTTGGAAAAAAATTTAATAATGAAGAATGCCTCAAAAATGCATTGACCGAATTGTTTGCATCAAAATCACAAGAATTTTACAACAGAGGGATTAAAATGCTTCCTGAGCGTTGGGCACAAGTAGTAGAAAACAACGGCAACTACAATATATTGTTGATTAAATTTTGTTGTATTGTTTAAATAAATTCGATTTAAAAAAATATTAAAAAACGACATTAATTATTACTAGACCTAATATTAGCTTTATGTCTTTTTCGGAAAAGCATAATAAAAATGTAAATTTAGCAAAATGAAATTGTGTGACTAAGAAGTTCAGATCTAGAGAACCTACTATGATATTTGCATATGTTGTAGCAGTTGAAGAATTATATATTTACTTTTGAGCTAATTAAGCAAAAACTAATCATTGTGCATCAATAATCATTTAGTTAATCACTTAAATCTTACTCATGATGTACGAGAATGTTATAATAGAGAAAATATTCACTGGGTAGGCACACCTCATTTTATTACAATTCTCTTTATTGTGCTTCATATATGTTGCATTTTTTACAAATTAAAGGTAATAACTTTCACTAGCAAAAATATTTTATTGCAGTACTCACTTTATTGTGGTTCTCTGCAACTGAGGTATGTCTGTATATGCATTGCATCTTTTCAGCCAGAAGAGTGTCAGTTTTGTTCAGAGTCATGCACCATCATTGAGGGAAATACATGGAGTACTGAAAAAATGTATATATACTTGAACAGCTGATGGCTCAGTTTTGAAAATGAAATGTAGTTTAATAAACACTGCTTTTATAATTATTCAATGTGTGTGTATACAGTTTTTTTATTTTTATTATACCCTTTATTTGATAGTGATGTGAGAGTTCTTGTTGACAAGGAATGGGATTTTAAAATCATGTACGAGTCACTATCAGAATTTTATGGCTGTTATTTTGAACATTGGTTATGTAATCTAGCCAGAAACCAAAACAAAAACTAAAGCAGTTTGAACCTTTGTCTAGTTTACAGTCAGTCCTTGATCATATGTTAGAGCAGGGATTGGCCAACTATGGCTTGAGGGTTAAATCCAGCTTTCTCCTGTAAATAGTTATAGGAACATAGCCATCCTCATTTATTTACTGTCTGTGGCTGCTTTTAGTTGAATAGTATTGTGACAGTGGCTGTATAGCTTGCAGAACCCTAAAATACTCTCTCACTCTGTTGAAAGTTTGCCAATTCCTGTGGTAGAATGTTGTATTGCACATTTGATGATTGAGTCACACATGATTTGCTGACACTTCTTAAATTAATCCTCTTAATCTGAATGTGGTCTTTCATGCACAGGTGACTGGAGATGATTCTGTTTTTAGGGCTTTCCAATGGAGGTTGCAATTGAGGGAAAGGGATTTGCCTTGGCATTGAGGTATATGCTGCTAACCCTCTGATGTTCCTAATATGGGGGGCCATATTTGTTTACTTACCAGGGGTGTCTGTTTGCCTAACTCACATCCTCCATGTTCCCCTACATCACAGTCCTTGCTGTTCCTCCCTCTGTTGCCATGGTCATGGAGTAGCAGGTAACTAGATCAGGAGGTTCTCCTACTGCAGTCTCTAGGGATAAAGACCATTTTTCATACACTTTGCTAATAATGGGTTTGGATGTGAAAGTTTAAAAATTAGGAGTGGCTTAACCCTCAACCCTTTCTGGTCAAAGTGGAGAGTTCTAGAAGGTGTGTAGGGCTAGTGGAGAGAGCATATCTGGCTTAATTCCCCAAGTCTCTAGAGCAGCAGAGGGCAGTTGGCTCACCTCTGAGCTATCGACCACATCTCCACCTTGGCCCCTGGATGCTGGTGAAGGCTCTGATCCACTTCCTGGGTTACTTGTAACTGAAAAAGCAGTACCTGAGAATACATTACAGATTTAAGAATATAAACATTTTTAACTTTTGAAGCACATCACTTCCTTTTCTAATGTGAAGATGTTCATTAAGTTTTGGCTTTTTGACTTGCAGTTAACATGTTGAAAGGCATGGCATACAAAAGCAAGGATGTGTCTGTAAATGAGATTAAATATAATGATCTGGTAAACCTAGGTAATGTGATCATTAGAGCTGTAAGTTTGGGCTAGAAGTTAGTCTTGAGAAAAATACTTCATTTTTGAGGAGGATTAGGATGCTTTAATAAATGTCAACTTATTTTTATGAGTACAGAAGATTGGTAATTTTTAGAAAATATTTAAGATGGTTTTAGACCCAAAGCTCTGAAAATCTTTGAAATATGTTTATTCTTCTTGTGATTTATATGAAGTTTATTCTTCTTGTGATTTAGGTCTAGATCTATGCCTGAATGCATTTTCTGCTGAAGTTATTTAGTTATACCCACCTTATTAAGTCTGTCTGCTAAAAGAGGAGTTCTTCTGGTGCTTGATTTTATTCTTCCTGAAGTTCTGAGAAGTAAGGGACCTGTATTTGGCATAGAGTTCTAGATTGTGATATTTTTATGTACTGCTAGTATTTGAGGACCCTGGCATTTATTTTTGCTTTCCCAGTGTGAAAACGCAGTGAAGGAAGGTAGTGTGCTAATGGAAGCAAGCAGAATTGCTTCTCACAGTAAATGGGTTAATGAAGATATCAATAATGATAAAACCCCTCTCATGTGAGTGTTTTAAAATACGTAGTTTAAATTTTTATTTAGCTATGCTTATGGTATGTGATGTGTTTACATGTATTCTCCTCCCTCTTCCCCCCACTAACTTTCATCCCTTTTTTATCCTAGATCAGCGACTATTATCTATTCTACAAAATGAGTAACAGCCACCCACTTCGCCCCTTTACTGCAGTGGGGGAAATTGATCACGTGCACATTTTATCTGAACATATTGGTGCCTTGTTGATTGGGGAAGAATATGGTGATGTCACGTTTGTGGTGGAAAAGAAACGTTTTCCTGCTCACCGGGTAATTTTAGCAGCGAGGTGCCAATATTTTCGGTAAGTCTGTAATACTTTATGAAGATTCAAGTTAACTTAGAGTAACATTGATTTTTTTTTTTTACTCTATAAAAATATGTAACAACAAGAAATATATAACATAGCATAACAATAAATATTAGCAATCCTTCCATTCAACATCTATAAGAATTTCATCTTTATAGACTTTTTGTTATTTTTTTGAAAATCACCATTTTTTTCAGAAACCATTTTAGAACTACTGGCTCTTCAGGCTAGACTGTACCCAATCCACCAATTTTCAGGATCTCAAGAATATTTTTTAGGCTGAGTGTTATTGTCTTCACCTCTTCTCACCATTGATTACTAATGGAAGTTAAATAGATATATTGGCAGATAAGCTTCTCGTTATACAGACAGATGGTTCTCTGGACTTTCTAATGAACTTGAATACCTCTTAGTTTCACGTTACTGAGATCCAGGACCTGTAGGTAACTCAACGGATCTCTCTCTAAGACAAGCATTTGATAACCCCAAATTAGAAACAAGTTTTTGTTGTTGTTGTTAATCCTTACCCGAGCATATTTTTCCATTAATTTTTAGAGAGAGTGGAAGGGAGGGGAAGAGACAGAGAGCGAGAAACAGCAATGTGAGAGAGACACATTGATTGATTGATTGCCTCCTGCACACACCCTGACCAGGGCCAGGGATCAAACCTGTAACTAAGGTATGCCCTTTACCAGAATTTAATCCTTGACCCTTTAGTTCATGGGTCCACACTCTGTCCATTGAGCCAAATCCATTAGGGCTAAATAAAACAGCTATTTTCTGAGATTTCTTCATAGTTATACTAGAACTAAAATTAGACAAAATATTTAAGCATTTAATTAATATAAAAATTTTACTTAATATGAAGCTATTGTTTATTACTCAAACCCTTAATTTCCAGGGTGATAAATGTTAAAGTGAGCTCTAATTACTCTGAGTTATATCTAATGTTAGTTAAAAGGGGGTCATCATTGAACGATAATTTGTCTTTAATAAATCCATTAGTCTATATCCATAAAGTCATTGATTTACATGGGAAACTTGATATCTAAAATTGAGATGCTGATGGCTAAGGAAAAAATTCAGTTACCCTCTAGTGAAAACTGCAGCCTAAGTTTTATAATCAGAAATAACTAAGACAACAAAACAGCAACACCTAGAGTCACACAAGAAAGGGTGTCTCTTATAAGTATGTATTTACTATTGGATGAGAATTTTATAGATCTGATAACAATTTGTAGAGCTTCCCATCTTTCGTAAAAAGTGACACTGTAGATGAAGTGAGGACCCTGGAAAACAGAGGAGTCTACTATTAAGAGTTCTCACTCACACTCTCTGATTCCTCTTGCTAATGGCCTTGCTCTAGTCATTATTTGTTACCAGCCTTGTCATCTGCACATTTTTTTTGTTTCTTTCCCATGTCTTAACTTTTGGTTCACTCACTATTTAGTGTTTTTTGAAAATTCCATTCTTTTATTTTTTAAATATGTTTTTATTGATTTCAGAGATAGGAAAGGAGAGGGAAAGAGGGATAGAAACATCATTGATGAGAGAGAATCAGTGATCAGCTGTCTCCTGCACACCCCCCACTGGGGATTGACCCCGCAGTCCAGGCATATGCCCTGACCGGAATTGAACTCTGAACTCTTGGTTTATGGGTTGACCTTAAACCTCTGAGCCACTCAGCCAGGCTGAAGAATTCATTCTTTATTGAGTCAGAACTTTTCAGCTTTATGTTTAATATTTTTTAATAATTTATACCTTATCCTTTTTCAAAAATAATTTGAGACAACTATAAGTGAGTATATTTTAGGTAATCAGTATATTCTTGAAAGAAACTAAAATACTTAAAAAAAATTAAAGATCATATTAAATAAATGGAATATACTCTCCTTTCTTGTTGACCTTTTCTTAATGTCTATGGATATTGAACCTTAATATCTGGTGGCTCACAAGGCTATCCTCAGAGTCATTACCAATGATGCCTTAAATTCTCATTGCAGATAACATTCCTGTGCAAGATAGGTCAACTAACTGTCAGGAGTCAGGAGAGGCTTTACTAAGTGTCATAGAACCTATCAATTCCCAAATAAGGACAAACTGACTGTACAGGAGGGAACTTGAGTTCCATAAGTTGGAGTTCATATTTAGGATTCCAAGGAGCTTCATCAAAGCCACCTTTTTCTTTGTTTTTGTTTTACATTTTTTCTCTTTTTTTATTATTTAAGATATTACAAAAAGTAATACATATGTCTCCTATTTCCTTCTCCCCCCCCAATTGATCTTCACCCAGCCTTCCCTACTGCCCCTCACCCGTCGTCAAAGCCACATTTATTTATTTATTTATTTATTTATTTATTTATTTTTATACTAGTGACCCGGTGCACAAAATTTGTGCATTTGGGGGGGGGGGTCCCTCAGCCCAGCCTGCACTCTTTCCAATCTGGGACATCCCTCTCACAATCCAGGACTGCTGGCTCCCAACTGCTCCCCTGCCTGCCTTTCTGATTGCCCTTAACAGCTTCTGCCTGCCAGCCTGATCATCCCCTAATCACTCCCATGCCAGCCTGATTGATGTCTAACTGCTTCCCTGCCAGCCTGTTGGCCCCAAATTCCCTCCTCTGCCAGCCTGGTCACCCCTAACTGCCCTCCCCTGCAAGGTTGATCACCCCCAACTGCCTTCCCTTGCAGGCCTGGTGCCTCCCAACTGCTCTCCCTTACTTGCCTGTTCACCCACAACTGCCCTCCCTTGCAGGCCTGATCCCTCCCAACTGCCCTTCCCTGCTGGCCATCTTGTGGTGGCCATCTTGTTTCACATAGAGGCAGGATCTTTAACCACATGGGAGCAGCCATCTTGATCTTGTGTGTTGAAGTGATGGTCAATCTACATATTATTCTTTTATTAGACAGAATAGAGGCCTGGTGCACAGGTGGGGGCCAGCTAGTTTGCCCTGAAGGGTATCCTGGATCAGGGTGGGTATTCCCTTGGGGCATAGGGCAGCCTGAGTGAGGGACCTGTGGTGGTTTGCAGGCCAGCCACACTCCCTGGCGACCCAAGTGGAGGTCCTGGTATCTGGGGTTTATTTACCTTCTACAATTGACACTTTGTAGCCTGGAGTGGAGCCAAGTCTTCTGCTTGCTCCATGGCTGCTGCCATTTTTGTTTGGATTTGTTTACCTTCTATAATTGAAATTGTAGCCTTGAGTTGAGGCTTAGTGCATCTAGGACAGGCGGAAAGCATGGCTTCTTCCATTGCTAGAGAAATCCAAGCCTCCCTCCTGCTCTCTGTGGCTGCAGCCATCTTGGTTGGGGTTAATTTGCGTACTCATCTGATTGGCTGGTGGGTGTGACTGATGGGCGTGGCTTGTGGTGGAGGCATGGTCAATTTGCATATTACTATTTTAATAGATAAGATTTTTATTTATTTCAGAGAGGGAGGAGAGAGAGAGAGGGAGATAGAAACATCAGTGATGAGAGAGAATTACTGATAAGCTGCCTCCTGCACGCCCCACACTGGGAATCGAGCCCACAACCCGGGCATGTGCCCTGACTGGGAATTGAACTATGAGCTCCTGGTTCATAGGTGGACACTCAACCACTGTGCTACACCAGCTAGGCTAAAACCACTTTAAGAGCATTGAGAATCCATGTGAATATCATGGGTCACACTGGAGTAAGTCTTGGTGAGATCTTCCAAGGAAGGTGTTTTTAATCTCGCAATTTTAAATTTGTGGTTGAATATACTCTGGATTAATGAAAATATTCAAGAGTGTTTTTAGGCAGAATATAACCCAATGAAGAGGAATGCTCAGAATACCATATTTTCCGGCGTATAAGACGACTTTTGAAACGAAAAAAAGCCTGCTCAGATTGGCCAGAGTCAGAGAGGTGGTCTATTAAAAAAAAGAACTGGTGCCTCGGAAGTGGGGGGTAGTCTTATACAGCGAATATAGGCCTAAACCTATGTTTTAACTGTAAAATTAGGGGGTCGTCTTATATGCTGGAAAATACAGTATTCATGACTTTTTTGTGGAATGGTTTCAGCTATTTTCCTGAGCCAAGCAAGAATGCTGGATGCTGGGAGAGGGTGAGAAGAGTTCCTGGCAGGTGTGGAGAGAACCGTTGAAATGCTAGTCTTGCTCTGAGAGTGTTAGGAGCAGGGGGAATCTCTTTTTGCCCCCTATTCTCTTGTTCTCATTTTCACATGTTTCCTGTTTCACTATACTCTTCCTTTTCTGCTTTCCTCCTTTGTCATCGTCCGGTTGCCCTTTCTTTTCTGATAGAGTGAAAGTTTAATTGGTTCTTATTATTTCTCTAGAGTCATAGAGGTAGAAATTAAAATTCATTACATGACTGAATTTTCTAATTTTAATTTCTTAGATGAGGAGATAAGCAATAAAGTGGGGATTTTTAAAAAATCTGACAAATACTGAAAGACAAAAAAAAATCAAATCACCCATAATTCCATTACCAACTTCAATTTCATTTTTAATTTATAAAGTAACAATGAAAGCCCTTTCCTCCAAGCCATCTAATCCCATTCCCCAGAGACAACCACTGTCAACAGTTTAATATGAATTTTCCCTGATTTTTCTTAATATAAATAGGTGTCCTATATAATAAAAGGCTAATAATGCAAGTTGAACAAATGGCAGAACAACTGGTCGCTATGATGTGCAATGACCACCAGGGGCAGATGCTCAACATCCCCCAAGGGCACCTGGACCGCGGGAGGGCACAGGCTGGGCTGAGGGGGACCCCCCCTAAAATGTACATTTAACAGGCGTCTTCAAACTACGGCCCGCCAGGTTTTTTGGGCAGTGAGCGCAGCCGAGGTGTTACAGTAGGAATTAGTAGTTCATATAGTCCGGCCCTCCAGCTCTCTGAGGGACCGTGATCTGGCCCCCACTTTAAAAAGTTTGAGGACCCCTGATGTACAATTTCGTGCACCGGGCCTCTAGTATTTATATATACACCTATGTACATACAAATAAGAATATGTGCTGTACACTTTTTTTACCCAACACATGGATCTGATCTGCAACATAACTGCTATCTCCTGGACATCTTTACGAACAGTATATATTGCCCTCTTTTGGTCTTTCTAATGGCTGCATAGAATGTATATATCACAATTTTTTTAGTCACATTCCTGTTGATGGGCACTTTAAGATTTGTTTCATTATCTCCATTGTTTCAGTATCTGTTTTTAAAAAATATATATTTTTATTGATTTTTTACAGAGAGGAAGGGATAGAGATAGAGAGCTAGAAACGTCGATGAGAGAGAAACACCGACCAGCTGCCTCTTGCACACCCCCTACCGGGGATGTGCCCACAACCAACGTACATGCCCCTGACCAGAATCGAACCTGGGACCTTTCAGTCCGCAGACCTACGCTCTACCACTGAGCCAAACCGGTTTTGGCTAGTATCTATTTTTATAAGTTTCTCTTTATAATCATGCTGTATTAAATCTCTCCAGCTGCATCCTAAAAGTGAGATTACTGCTGAAACCGGTTTGGCTCAGTGGATAGAGCATCGGTCTGTGGACTGAAAGGTCCTAGGTTTGATTCCAGTCAAGGGCATGTACATTGGTTGCGGGCACATCCCTGGTAGGGGGTGTGCAGGAGGCAGCTGGTCGATGATAATTCTCTCCCATCGATGTTTCTAGCTATCCCTCTCCCTTCTTCTCTGTGAAAAATCAATAAAATATATTTAAAAAAATTAAAAAATAAAAGTGAGATTACTGAGTGGAAGGTATGCATCTTTTAGATTTAAATTACTTTCCAAAAAGGGGTGCCTATTTATACTCAAAGCAGTGAATGAAAGAACTTGTTTTTACATTGCTTTTGCAGCACTGGATATTAACAGGTTTTTAAATTTGTCAATCTAACAGAATGGCACCTGGTTGTGTTTAGTTGTTTTTTTCTATAGTTTCACTTTTTTGTTTTCTTCAACTTTTTTACTAGGGGGATTTTTAAAAAGTACTGGATAATTGTGTCCCATTTTTCTCCCTCCAGCCAGCCCCTATCCTTCCCCTCCTTGCCCCTGCCAATGGCTTCACCAACCTATTGCCAGTGTCCAAGGGCTATGCATATACTATCTATCTAATGAAAGGATAAGATGCAAATTAACTGTCACTCTGTCAAAAAAGATGGCAGCACCCATAGCCACAAGATGGTGATGCCTAGTCCTTTTAGCCCTGTCAAAGTCCCCCAGTCCTGGGGGGGCAGAAGAGGGGGGCAGGAGGAGGGGCGTCTGCCAAGAGAGGACAGCATGAGTGGCCTGGCAGAATGCTTGCCTCGTCGCCACGGTGACAAGGCAAGCGTTCTGCAGATGGGCCCTTGGGCTGCAGATGGGACCATGGGCAGCAGGCGCGGAGCCGCCAGGCCCCACAGAGAGCTACTGGTGCACGGATTCGTGCGCAGGGCTACTAGTAAGTATATAAGTTCTTCGGTTTATCTCTCCTTGTTCCCCCACCTCTACATCAAGGTATGTCTTACCTCCATGCTTCAGGTCTTACTTCGTTGGTCAATTCATTTTGTTTATTAGATTCCACAAATAAGTGAGACCATGTGATATTTGTCTTTCTTAGTTTATTTCACTTAGCATAATATTTTCCAGGTCCATCCATGCTGTCCCAAAGGGTAAGAGATCCCTCTTTTTTACAGCTGTAAAATATTGCATTGTGTAAATGTCTCACAGCCTTTTTACCCATTCATCTACTGATGGACACTTGGCCTGTTTTCAAATCTTTTTTAAATCCTCACCAAGGTTATTTTCTCCATTTATCTTTAGAGAGAAGGAAGGGAGAGAGGGAGGATGGGAAGAGAGAGAGGAGAGGGGAGGGGAGGGGAGGGGAGGAGAGGGGAGAAAAAAATTGATATGAGAGAGACACAGGCCCTTCTGCATGGGCCTGACCAGGACCAGGAATTGAACCTGCTATTCAGTATGTGCCCTTGACCAGGAATCAAGCCTGTGGCATTTAGGTCCTTGGACCAACACTTTAATCACTATGGAGTTATGCTTTTTAAATGGCTTTATTGGTCTTTAACATGTTTATATTGTTTCACTATTCCTCTCAAAAGAGCATTTTTTTAAAAAATTATTTTTTATTTTTTATTGATTTCAGTCAGAGAGGAAGGGAGAGGGAGAGAGAGAGAAACATCAATGATAAGAGAGAATCATTGATTGGCTTCCTCTTGTACATCCCCTACATTGAGCCCACAACCCAGGCATGCGCCCTTGACTGGAATCGAATCTGGGAATCTTTTGTCCACAGGTCGATGTTCTAACCACAGAGCCAAACCAGCCAGGGCAAAAAGAGCATTTTTATCTGTGTATTTTTAATGAATGTCTATTCCATATCTTGAGTTTTCAGGATATTTCATTATTTCACTTGTTTATAGAATTAATTCAAAATAGTTTTAAAGGTATTTCTCTTAGTTTCTTTGAGAACTTCAAATGATAACTAAGCATTTCTTTACCTGTATCTTTATGTCATTAAACAAATTTATGTTTGTATAATGTTGATACCCGTGATTTCATGATTTTGTAGCAATCTTACTTGAGGTTTTTCTCGTGCAGAGCATTGCTGTATGGTGGAATGCGAGAATCTCAGCCAGAAGCAGAAATCCCCCTCCAGGACACCACTGCGGAAGCCTTCACCATGCTACTCAAGTACATCTACACTGGGCGGGCGACACTGACGGATGAGAAGGAGGAGGTGCTGCTGGACTTTCTGAGCCTGGCTCATAAATATGGATTTCCAGAGCTGGAGGATTCTACCTCCGAGTATCTCTGCACCATACTCAACATTCAGAATGTCTGTATGACTTTTGACGTGGCCAGTCTCTACTCACTGCCCAAGTTAACTTGCATGTGCTGCATGTTTATGGACAGAAATGCTCAGGAGGTGCTCTCGAGTGAAGGCTTCCTCTCTCTTTCTAAGGTGTGTCATTGTCTGCAAGTAACTTGCAGGCATGCCTGGTCTTATTTATATCTGTACAGTAGAAATGCAGCAATGGACTAAGAAAAAATAAAAGTCAAAGGCGTGGAAGAGGTTGTCCAACCAACCGCCTGTGGCTCCTGAGACTAGATCATATAAGAGAAGGACAGATTGCTTCTGTTTTCTCTTAAGGTTCTTTTGGTAAATTCCAAGTGCAGAAGAGACTGTGATGCTAGGTGGTTGTTTTCAATGTGGTCTTGCATACTGCTTTTGGAACTTGTATTTCTTTGATAAAGACAATAATTCCATATTATGAGAGGGAAAATTCATAAGGGAGATGTGTTGCTATATGTCTCTAAATTATTATTATTATTATTATTTTTTCCTGGCTCAAAATTCACTGTTAATGGCGCTGTAAACTGAATAATAGCTAGAGTAAAACTTTTGCTCAAACCTTTTTCTGAACCTTGGTGGTTGTCTCTCTTTTCCCTTTCAGTGTTTCTTCTAGGACCTGAATATTTTGAAGAGAAAACTTATTTGAAAATCTACACATCTTGTTTTGAGTTTAAACTATGATTTTTATTATCCTACTTTATTTTTAGAGACAAGGTCTTTGAGGGCTGCACCAGTGTTGCTGGGGGGTCTGAAAATCTGAGAACCAAAAATAATGATAGCACAGTAATACTGTGAAGGGAAAGATTTTGAATTTTAAATGCTATATGTATCTTACTGACCCATAAAGGTAAAATCTTCTGAAGAACATGAATGGAAAGACAGATCCTCATGTTGCTGTTTTTCTTCTTATTTTATTAAAAGATGGATGCAGATGTGTAGGAAACACTGGATGTTTGAAGTAGTGGTATTAGATGCCTACAGCTAGTCACACAGCCATGTGCAGGAGAGTACATGGCACAGAATATGGAGAGAAAATTGTCAAAGAGAATTCATTGTTTACATATAATGATAACTTGCAGTTCTGTTGGATACTGCACATGGTTGAGCTCCATAATAACTGGAATTTGTTCTTGTTATCCTTTTCAGACAGCACTTCTAAACATCGTATTAAGAGATTCATTTGCAGCTCCTGAAAAAGATATTTTCCTAGCCTTGTTTAACTGGTGTAAGCACAATTCAAAGGAGAATCATGCAGAAATCATGCAGGCTGTGCGTTTGCCTCTGATGAGCCTCACCGAACTGCTCAATGTTGTGAGGCCTTCGGGACTACTATCTCCTGATGCCATTCTGGATGCTATTAAAGTTCGATCAGAGAGCCGGGATATGGACCTCAATTACAGAGGCATGCTCAGTAAGTACCTGTTCATCCTAATCTTACCAAAAGTTCTGTTTGCATTGTGTGACAGTCTCAGCTATGAAACCATAATGTAAGTATATATGGAACATACAGGTCTAAGAACATATAGTTCTTCTTGTAGTCCTACAGAGATTGCATAGCCATTGTAGATTTCCAAATAGTATTTCTTGCCATCCTTGAACAAATTTCTCCAGCTATTCCATAGAGTGTAAGAAATAGATACTTTCCTCAAAATTTTTCCTCCTTTCTCCATCAAATCAATGCTAACTACATGCTATGTGCTTATTATTTTAGGCAGCATGAACATACAGATTCTAAATAACAATAATAACTTAACATGTATGTAGCATTTCCACCACTTATGTGATGCTTTTTCTTAACCTGTTAACCGAACGGGACGTATAAATATGTCAAACATAAACAATATTGGGAACGGGTTTCTTGAAATATATGTTGCGCCCTGAGAGGGACGGTATATATTTTTTATAATCTTTATAATTGTTTGTAAAGTTTATAATTTTTTAATTCGATGTTTCCATTTTTTTGTTGGTATTCTTTTCTATTTGTTTGTAATTTTGTATTTTCCTTTGTGCTTTATATATAAATAAACGAAAAAATATATATTTCATTTATTTTAATTAAGTATAAATAAATAAAATAATAATATAAAATTACGTCCACTGGGCATGACTTACTGACACGTCCTAGTGAAAGAGTATGCGCCCATTACACGTTGCGTAATTAAAAAGGGAACTCCCCGGTTAACAGGTTTATAAATAAAAACAATGTATTGACTATCTGCTGTATGAATTGAAGTGAAAAATAGTTGAGAAATAGTATGGTAGCTACAGGGAATAGGTTTGAAGAGATCCAGTAGGGGATTTGGAGGTGCTAGAGAATGGTACTAGATAAGGTATTGGGAGGATGGGAGGGGAAGGGTAACAAGATAAATAATATTATTTTATTTTATTGATTTAGAGAGAGAGGAAAAGAGGGAGAGAGGGAAGGAGAAAGTGAGAGGGGAAGAAGGGAGGGAGGTAGGAAGATATTTGTTGTTCCACTTATTTATGCATTCATTGGTTGTTAATTTTTATATGTGCCCTTACTGGATATGGAACTTGGAACCTTGGCATATAGGGATGAGGCTCCAACCAACTGAGCTACCTGGCCAGGGCCTAATTTTAGACTTTCTGAACTCTCATTGTTAGATCCTTTTTAATATATATAAGCTCCTTTTTCCCTTCTTGCTCTAGTATGTGTGTATTCTAATATATATCCATATACTAACATATATGGATATATATATATGTGGACATATATATGTGTGTATATATATATGTGTGTGTATATATATATGTATCTTTATTGATTTTTTTACAGAGAAGAAGGGAGAGTGATAGAGAGTTAGAAACACCAATGAGAGAGAAACATCGGTCAGCTGCCTCCTGCACACCCCCTACTGGCGCCTGCAACCACGGTATATGCCCTCAGAATCGAACCTGGGACTCTTGAGTCTGCAGGCCAATGCTCTATATACTGAGCCAAACCAGTTAGGGTCTTCTTGCCCTAGTTTTGATTTGAGGTGCTGATAGAGTCCTGTATCTGGGTTCGTTATAGGGGTGGCTTCAGACATTGTTGCGGGCATATGGAAGTGCTCAGACCTGGATTGTAATAAACCAATGAAATTACCATGAAAGGGAGTAATTCAACCAGTTAAGGGCTACTTGGTTCAAGAATGGACATATGCAATTATTCCTCTTTAATGTTAGCTTTTTATTTTGGAATAATTCAGTGGGAACTCAAGGAAGAGATTATACAAATGTTTGGGAATCTTCTATCTAACTCCTAAATTTGAGAAATGATTAAGTAGCAGCCTGTTTTTCTGACTTTTAAATTAAATGAATAGTAAAATCAATAATATAACTAAGAAAGCATATCACTTTCCCATCAGATTCTAAAAAATAAGTTAGCTATTTTCTAAATAAATGTTGTCCAAACATTTATATCATTATTTCTTTCAACATATTTCTTTATTGTTTAGGGGAAAAAAGGGTCTAAAGTTTCAGAACTGTTCCTAAGATTATTTTCCTGTTTAGTGGTGAATTGCTAGAAGGCTGAGTCCAGCATTTTCCCCCCTTTAAATCAGTAGGATGAAGGTCATTTTCAGCTCTTCTATGTTTCCACTAGAGGCCCTTATACAAACTTCATGCATGGATAGGGTCCCTAGGCCTGGCCAGGGATCAGGGCCAGTTGGGGCCTTCTGGCTGCCGGCCGGGGCCTCCCTTACCCAGATGGGGCCTCCCTTCATTCTTTGCCGCTCCCTGGTGGTCAGTGCACGTCATAGCAAGCAAACACCTAGTCTCCCAGTTGAACTCCTGAGGGGACACTAGCTCCTTTAATCCCTCATCCTGTATTTTTGAGAGCTCTTTTTTCTCTACTGATAGACAAATATAAAAAATAAGAATATTTATGGATTGAATTATTTTATTATGATTTGGATTTTCTCATGTTTACCTTTTGTGTTAAATTTATCATTTAACTATATAGATTTTGTATTTTTATCCTGTGAGGTACTCAGATTATAGTTACCATGAAAGAATTGCTACTGTGTAAATGTTGCCTGTTTTGAAGTGAAAGACACTTTTGGAGAATCTATATAAAAAACAGAAAAGTTCTCAAGTACTCTTGAAATAAACTTCAAAAAACAACTTAAACTTCTGGTAGAAGTTTTATTTCAATTTTAGACCTTTCGTTATAGTCACTTGAAATTCCTATGCCTAGTATGTTATTTCTAGCTTGATAAGTGAAGAAACTTATGTTTAGAGAAAATATAAGGGTAATGCAGTTTCTGAATCTGAAAGTTCAAGTTCCCCCTTTTGTTGTCTTGGCCCTGATAGTGGTGTCAGAACTCGAGGAAATGGTTTCAGTGGTGGGTAGCTGCAGACTTTGGACCACCTCTCATGCCCAGCAGAAAGGGATTATTCAGGTTTCTTCTTATGATACTTGAAAAGCACAAATTTGAAACTTTTGTTTGTTTGCTTGCTTTATAAAGTGCTTCATCTCTAGATTGGAGACATCAGGAGTCGGGCTTTTCTGTCTAGTTCACTGAGCTAGTCCTAGACCTTCACAAGGTATGGGGTGCAGAACAAGTCCACAGTAAACGTTTTGTGACTTATACAGTACTTTAGCATGTATTATTTGTAGCATGACCTTCACAGTAATCCTGTGGGTGGTTGGGCGAAGTGTTATTTTTAGATGAGAAAACAGATTCACAGAGACCAAGAAGCTTCAGGTAGAGCCTGAGTCTCAAGGTTAGGTTTTCTTGCTTTAAGTCTAACTTTTAAAAAATATATCATGCTGCTTCTTTCCTCTGGGTTTTAGGTCATCTTAGAGGGAAGGTATTATAAAGAGGGGATAAGTATGTCCTTCATATAAAAAACCATTCATGAAGGAGGTATCAGAGCAGGGCCCCTGGAGACAGACTGCATGGCTGTCATTGTGGCTCTGATACTGGCTGGCCGTGTGACCTCGGTCAAGAAAGTCCATCTACGTAATCTTTCTCCTGCCCACACTTACCCATCTGCGGAATGGCTGTAGTAGTAATATTATACCTTAAAGGATTTTGATGAGAAGTAAGTCAAAGGAATTAATAATAAAAATGAAGAATATGTATGATTACCATGAGCTAACAGAATTTAAGAAGTTATCAATAGGATGCACTTAAGCTTCTGGTAGTAAGAAGTTGAGCCAGGACTAGGTTTTTTGTCTGAGTTGCCTTAGTCTTTGCAAGTTGAACAAACCCATCCCAATTGCATTCCAGTTGTACTTAGTGTCTCCCAAAGTCATTCTCTTACCTGTCTTCATTTGAAAAAAAATTTTAAACTTCACATTTTCCAAGTGATCCACAATAATGAATTAACTCCTTTCCCTAAGAGCCCAGTTATGGCTCATATTTGAGTCTGTTCAAATCACTATTTACTGTGTATAAACTTGCTTAGTTCTTTTATTGTTGCTTTAAAAAATATGGCTCATAATAATTATAGCAGTCTCTTCTTAGAGTTTACTATGCACTTTGCAAACATCATCTCACTTAATTCTTGAAACAAAAACAAAAAATGGGAACATCTTGGGGATAGATATTGCCCTATGGAGAAATTTAAGTTCAGAGAAGGTAACTTCCCAAAAGTGATACACTCGGTTAAAGGTAGAGCCCCACTATTTAAACTGACTTTGAAGCTCAAGACATCTACTTTATGCTACCTCAGGTCTCTCCATGGGGAGTGTCAGTTTTAGAATATTAGTACCTGAAGGATGGGTTCCAGATCTGTGAAGCCAAGTGTGCATAGAGGACTTCAGAGTCTCAAGGACAGTGGACACTTAATAAATCTGCTGGAAAGTGGCGAGTGTTTAATTATAACCACAATACTGACTTTGATGACAGACTGAGTTTTCATTTTTAAAAATATTCAAGTGAAGAAAAATATCTTTTCTTTTAGACATATTTTTGTTTTTTTAGCTAGATTGGTTGATTTAGCTTAGGGGTGTCGAACTCAATCAGAGAAGGGGCCAAAATCTAAAATCCAGCCTAAATCGCGGGCCGAATGGTTTACTGAACAGTCATAAACTGTCATTGTGATGGAAACGCAGCGGAGTGCAGTGATGACAGCGCGGTGCGGGCCACATTGCAAGGCCTGGCGGGACGGATTTGGCCCGCGGGCCTTGTGTTTGACACATGTGATTTAGCTCATCCATATATGACGAATAGCTCTGGTGTATTGGAACCTCTCTTTTCCTGTTATTTATTCAGATGTCTGACTTGTCTGCTCTGCTTAATACATTGTGCTCAGTCCAGATGGCAGGTATAGGTTATCTTACATCAAGCATGTCAAACTCAAAGGCTAACATGGGTCAAATAAACAATGTCTATTTATGTAGGCTGCAAAAAAACAAAAGCTTCCATTTTCATAGAAATGTAGGTTTATTTTGATTGAGACATGCCGGATACAAAGGGCTGAAATAATTGACTAATTGTTAACATAAAATAATAGAACATTTTAATAAAAATTAATATTTTTTTTCTTGAACATTAACTTATCAGACATTGAATAACTACAGAAATCAATAAGCTTAACACAAATAGACCTATTTTTCTTGTTCTCCAAAAGCAAAATATAGCCTGTGTGCACACCAAACAAGTTGTCCAAGACTAATGACCTGGCAATCGGCTGCTAAAATATTCGCTGCTAGTATTAGTGGATAGAAATGGTGTGCCTGCGCGTAAAGCACTTAAAGGAAATGAATGCAACATGATTATAGTAATTAGTCATTAGTGAACATTATAGTTTGTTATTAATGATGATATGTAACAGGATATTGTAAAAGTTAAGTTACAAAAGTTTTTTATTTAAATGTTTTTTACATACCGTTATATTGGCTGGGCTGCAAAAATATATTTATTGTGGACTGCATGTGGCCCATGGGCCATGAGTTTGACATGCTTGTCTAACATGCTGTTTTTGTCTAGTATAGTCAACCTTTTTAATGCTGTGACCCTTTAATACAGTTCCTCACATTGTGGTGACCGCCAACCATAAAATTATTTTCGATGCAACTTCATAACTGTAATTTTGCTATTGTTATGAATTGTAATGTAAATATCTATGTTTTCCAATGGTCTTAGGCTCTACAGCAGCGGCTTTCAACCTGTGTTGAAACTGCTAATAGAAGGAACTCAGCAGAGCTGATTTGTTTGTGCTAGCTAGTACATGTATTTTTTTCTAGTATTACCAACTTTTCCTTAATAACGTTAGTCCCAAACACTTTGTGGCTGTGATGGTGTTTTTCAATTTAATCCTCATAGACATTGCATATCTTCTATTTTCATAGGTTTCTCTCTGCCATTTTAAATTAAATATACATACTGGAATCCTAGAATTTGATTTTCCCCCCCAAGTTATAGAGTAATTTAATAACTAACTATTAACTTTGCCTTTTTTGTATTTTTAACTGTAGTACCAGAAGAAAACATTGCAACTATGAAGTATGGAGCCCAGGTTGTTAAAGGGGAGCTGAAATCTGCCTTACTGGATGGTGATACTCAAAATTATGATTTGGACCATGGATTTTCCAGACATCCAATAGATGACGACTGCCGTTCTGGCATTGAGATTAAGCTAGGTCAGCCGTCTATTATCAATCACATAAGGATTCTCCTGTGGGACCGAGATAGCCGGTGAGTCTGTTCGATTTGGAGAGAAACGAATGTTGTGTTTGAGTGAGATGACCTGTGTGGTCATCTGCTTTGATTTTACAGATTTGATGACTTATTTCTTTGTGGTTACTTGGCTATTTCTCTTGAAGTTTTGTTCTGAGGAAAGGGTTGAAGAGTTTATTCCTTAAAAAAAAAGCAAGAAGACTTTTTCTTTTCTTTTCATTTTCTGCTTATCAAAGTAATGGATATTTTTTTTGTGTGGAAAACATGGAACATAGACCTTAGTTCTCTTTACCATCTAGCAAGATGGCGGGTGAAAAGAAAACTGAGAAGCTGGATATTAAGGAGAAGAAGTCTGATACTAAGGAGGAGAAACCTGAAGCCAAGAAGGCTGGTGCTGGCAGCAAGGTTAAGGCGCCTAATAAGGGGAAGCCCCAAAGCAGCCAAAACCCCGTCTTCTTCCGAGGAATTGGCAGATATTCCTGGTCGGCTATGTATTTGAGAAAGGCCATGTACAAGAGGAAGTATTCAGCAGCTAAATCCAGGATTGAAAAGAAAAAGGAGAAAGTTCTTGCTACTGTCAAAAACCAGGTGGTCGAGACAAGAATGGTGGCACTCCCGTGGTTAAAGTCCGCAAAATGCATAGATATTATCCTACTGAAGATGTGCCTCGAAAGCTGTGGAGCCATGGCAAGAAACCCTTCAGTCAGCATCTGGGGAAACTGCGGGCCAGCATCCCTCCTGGGACCATTCTGATCATCCTCACTGGGTGCCACAGAGGCAAGAGGGTGGTTTTCCTGAAGCAGCTGAGTGCTACTTGTGCCTGGCCCTCTGTCCCTCAATCGAGTTCCTCTGTGTAGAACACACCAGAAACTTGTCATTGTCACTTCCACCAGAATTGATATCAGTGGTGTGAAAATCCCCAAACATTTCACTGATGCTTGCTTCAAGAAGAAGCTGCACAAGCCCTGATTGGGAATCGAACTGTGATCTTTTGGTTCATAGGTCAACACTCTTCAACACAGAGAAAGAGAAATATGAGATCATAGAGCAGTGCAAGGTTGACCAGAAAGCTGTGGACTCACAAATTCTGCCAAAAAACTAACTGTTCCTCAGCTCCAGAGCTACCTCTGCTCTCTGTTTGCTCTCACCAATGGGGCTTTATCCTCACAAACTGGTGTTCTGAATTTCTTATAAGAACTGGATTAGATAACTAATATATTAAAAAAGACACAAAACCATAGAACATAGAAAATCACAAAGAAATAAAAATTTCTAGTAATCTCACCACCCATTATTAATCTGTATATATCTAATCATTTTTTTGTTATGCATAGTATATCTCATACATACACAAAACAAACCAATGAAATCACATATAGTTTACAAAATAGAAATTAGATGTGTAAAAAGCTAACTAAACTTAAAAAATATATATATATATATATATATATATATATATCTCCATATCCCTAGCTGGTTTGGCTCAGTGAATAGTGTGTGGGCCTACAGAACTGAAAGATCCCATTTTCGATTCTGTCAAGGGCACATGCCTGGGATTAGAGGCTCAATTCCCAGGGGGGAGCAAGCAGGAGATAGCCAATCCATGATTCTCTCATCATTGATGTTTCTATCTCTCTCTCCCTCTAACTCTCTGAAATCCATAAAAATATATATGTGTACATACATATTTTTTAATATATTTTTATTGATTTTAGAGAGGAAGGAAGAGGGAGAGATAGAAACATCAATGATGAGAGAGAATCATGGATTGGCTACCTCCTGCTTGCTCCCCATTGGGAATTGAGCCTCCAACTCCAGGCATGTGCCCTGACTGGGAATTTAACTATGATCTCCTGGTTCACAGGTCAACAGTCAACCACTGAACCACACTGGCTGGGCTAACTTCACTTTTTAATGAATACATTGTGAATATTCTCTCCTTTAAAAATATTTTCCTAAAATGTTACTTTACATGGTTATCAGGTATTCTACTCTGTGTATTTCCCATTAATTATTTACTTGATTCCTTACTTTTGGATGTTATAACAATAACATTAAATGCATTTTATCTTATGGATGAAGAAAAAATGTTTTTTAGTGTGTGAATAAATATCATCTTCAAAACAAAATAAATTTGTGGAAAAAATTTGGTGGACTCTAGCCTAGGAATCCACCTAGTTTTGCAATAGTTTCAAGGTTCTGCCTTCCTTCTAGCCATTCTGATACTTTTACCCACTGTGGTTTCTAGGGTTCAGCCATGATAGCCAAAGTTCCAGAGCAGTATATGTGACCAAGACCTGAACTGTCTCTATCATTTACCTAAACCCTACATTCCAGAAAACTGATATGCAGAGAATCTCCTAGGCCCTACTCATACCTCTTTGAGTCTGGGCAGGAAGGGCTTAATAGTATTGGTGATACCTTGCAAATCTTTGTAGCCTTTCAAATATATTTTTATTGATTTTAGAGAGGAAGAGCAGAGAGAGAGAGAGAGATTAATGAGAGAGAATCATATATATATATATATATATATATATATATATATATAGAGAGAGAGAGAGAGAGAGAGAGAGAGAGAGAGATTAATAATGAGAGAGAATCATTGATCACCTGCCTCATGCATGTACAATACTGGGGATTGACCTTGCCAGCCTGGCCATGTGTCCTGATTGGGAATTGAACCGTAACCTTTTGGTTCATAGGTTGGTGTTCAACCACTGAGCCATGCTGGCTGGCCTACCCTGCAAATTTTACAGGTTAGTTCATTTCGCATGTTAGTACCATCGGCCACCATCCTGGCTTTTTAGGCCATTTGAGCCAAATATGAGGGAAGCTTTATGAAATGGGAGTCAGCATCTCCTGTGCATGGTCTTTGAGGTCCTGATGTTATCTCTATCTTTGTTTTTAAATCAAGAATATTTCTGCTACATATCTTTTTGGACATAATAATGGTGTTTAGTTGGCAAAATGGAGGTAATTTACATGTCATTTCTAAAAAAGTAATATGCAAATTAACCACCACTCTACTACACCCACAAGCCACACCCACAAGCCAATCAGGAGCAAATATGCAAATAAACCCAACCAAAATGGCTACGGCCACAGAGAGCAGGAGGGACACTTGGGTTTCCCCGGCAATGGAGTAAGGCAAGCTTTTTGCCTGCCCTTGCCGGCCTAGGCTTCTACTCAAGGTTACAAAGTTTCAATGAAAGAAGATACATAAATCCAAACAGAAATGGCTGCAGCCATGGAGCTGGAAAGAGGAGGCTAGCATTTCCCGTGGCAATGGAGGAATCCAAGCTTTCCACACACCCTGGCTAGCCCAGGTCTCTGTATCTTCAATTATAGAAGATACATAAATCCCAACAGAAATGGCTTGGCTCCACGCCAGGTACAAAGTTTCAATTGTATAAGATAAACCCCAGATACTAGGGCCTCTGCTTGGGTTGCCGGAGGGGGGGAGGAGGGCCCATGGCCCGCCCAGGCCACCCCACACCCCAAGGGACCCACACCCCAAGGGAACCCTCACCCTGATCTGGGCCACCCTTCAGGCAAACCAGCTGGCCCCCACTCATGCACCAGGCCTCTATCCTATCTAATAAAAGAATAATATGCAGATTGACCATCATTCCAACACACAATATGGTTGCCCCCGTGTGGTCAAAGATCCTGTCTCCATGTGGACACAAGATGGCCACCATAAGATGGCCAGCAGGGGAGGACAGTTGGGAGGGACCAGGCCTACAAGGGAGGGCAGTTGGGGGTGATCAATCCTGCAGGGGAGCATAGTTACGGGTGACCAAGCTGGCAGAGGAGGGAAGTTGGGGGCAACCAGACCTTCAGGGAAGGCCATTTGGGAGGGACCCAGGACTGCAAGGGACGGCAGGGGTGACTAAGCCTGCAGGGGAGCAGTTAGGCATCAATCAGGCTGGCAAGGGAGTGGTTAGGGGGTGATCAGGCTGGCAGGCAGAAGTGGTTAGGGGCAATCAGGAAGGCAGGCAGGCGAGCAGTTGGGAGCCAGCAGTCCTGGATTGTGAGAGGAATGTCTGACTGACTGGGATTGGGCCTGAATGGGCAGTCTGACATCCCTCAAGGGGTCCCAGATTGGAGAGTGTGCAGGCTGGGCTGAGGGACACCTCTCTCCCCCCTGTGCATGAATTTCGTGCACCGGGCCTCTAGTAGTACAATAATAATATATAGCACTTCCATTACTTTTATGTAGTAGGCACTGTTATAAAAGTTTTACGTATTCTCATTTAATTAGTAATGGAATTGGTATAAAAATAATAAAATAAAAGGTTAGTATGCTGAAATGGAATGTAGTTATTATTGTTTCCAGGATGTTAATTATTGATATTTGTAGACCACCTTGTTTTACTATATGTGTCACATTCACAGGGGCTTAACTTTACCACAGCCATTCTTTTCTTGCAGAAGTTGGTACCAACTAAGCAAAGGTGAAAAATTCAGAATCTTAACCAAAAAAGATTCTGACATGTGTTGTAAAATTATATCCTGCATTTCTGATAACCCAGAGAGGTTCAGTAAAAGGTTACAACCAGTTTGAGACTGAGCGATAAAATGAATGGGAGGAAGAGGACAGCAGAAAATGAGAGATGACAAAATAAGCTGACCTTTTTCGGTCACAACTGTTGGTTGCAGGCTGACATTTATGGTCACCTAAATCTTCTGAGATTGTTCCTGTTGATATTACAGTACAAGTAATAACTGCATCTCAAATTTAAATTTGGCTCATGACAGGGGAATATAGATTTGTTCAATCTGGGATCAGCACACAGTGGTTTGGTGTAGCTGACTAAGGCAAGGTGGTAGACTTATTTTCATTACTGCCAGGTTATTAGCTGCCAAATTTTAAGTTGTACCTAAAAGAAACATCTATTATCTCTTCACCCAGGTCATTTATTTTGCCACTGGCTGCATGTTTGTGTGGGATGGTGGGAGGCTGGGAGGGAGTGGGAAATCAGCTGGCTTCTGTGGGGAACCACTCCAGTTGGCTTTCCTCCTGAGAGTGTAGGGCTGAGCTCCCAGGCCGGGAAGGTAGAAGGAGAAGGCACATCTACTTCTATGTTCTGTCCTGTCTTTGTCATGGCCTTATTAATCTGCTAATATGGTGTGAGGAAGCCATCCTGGCCTTGTTTGAAAAGGAACAAATGTCTTCCATGCCTTTGTGACTCGCACCATGCTAAAGGCTGGGTATATGAAAATACATATGCCATAATCTTTATTCTTAAGCAGCTGTAATCTACTAAAGTAGACATATGTGTTGAGAGAGTATTATAGTACATTATGGTGAATGCTATATTAGGGGATCTATATAGATTTCATCATTATCCACATTTGATTATTATGTAGAAAATGTAATTTGTGAAGTGTGTGGTTTTTTTTTTTGTGTGTGTGTGTGTGTGTGTGTGTGTGTGTGTGTGACCGTTAATGTACTAGAGGCCCGGTGCACAGATTTGTGCACCAGTGGGGTCCCTCGGCCTGGCCTGTAGGAATCAGGCTGAAACCAGCAGTTCAACATCCCCCTTGCGAGAGGGTGCAAGCCAGTCTGAGGGATCCCACCGGTACATGAATCCATGCACTGGGCCTCTAGTATGCATAGAAGATCTTGGTTAATCTCTTCTCATCCTCTCCCTCCCTCCTTTCCTCTGAGATTCATCAGTCTATTCTATGTTTCCATGTTTGTGCATTGAGTGTCTGCCCCTGGTGGTCATTATGCATCATAGCTACTAGTTGAACAGTCAAATGGTTGCCTAGGCTGTTATATATATAGATAACTGTATTGTTATTTTATTTTTTAATTATTAATTTTAACTTAATTTTTAAAAATTATAACTTTATTGTTGAAAGTATTATAAACATCTCCCTCCCCCCTCCCCGTATTGACTTCTCCATCTTGCTCTTGTCACCTGTATTGTTATTTTAATATGATCCTTTTTTCTGCTTTTTTCCTTTTGACTCATAGGTCTTATTCCTACTTCATTGAAGTGTCCATGGATGAACTTGATTGGATCAGAGTGATTGATCATTCACAGTATCTGTGTCGTTCTTGGCAAAAGTTATATTTTCCAGCCCGTGTTTGCAGGTTAGTTCTCATGTATAATAAATGACTTTGATGTTTATTTAAGGAGATTTGGGCTTTGACAAGAAACAGATTACATTTTTGGTTTCACAGAAGAGTTTTTCAGAGTATCAGCTAACATACATCTCAGCAAAAACTTAGAGAAACTATGGAAAATTAGGCATTTAATATTTAGAGTGTGCTGTGGCACTGTTTATCCAAAGTGTTTTGTACTGTTTTTATGTAGTACACATGTAAAGGAACATGAAGGGACAGGAACACTGAGGAGTAGAAATACTTTCTGAACTGCATGCTGTACCTTGAAAGCAGTTATTGTTAAACAGTACATTTTCCCCACGGTAGCCAGGAGAGTGTTTCTGGAGATTTCTCTGGCAGTCCTCAGGGCATGAGGAGCTTTTTTTGATGTCACTGTGCCTATTCTGAATGTCTGAGTTCTTTTTCCAAGTCAGTGAATATCCATAGAATTTGACAGAGCCAGTGTTTCTAGTGGTGTTGGGCTTGGGGCGAGGGAAGCTCAGCTGGTGGGGCTCCAGGCTCAGAGCTCCTTAGCTTGTATTGTTGTGATGTGTTGCAATCCCATGTTAGTTTGTCTTAAAAAGTATTGTTTAGGTATAACCCATATTTTAAGCTTTCTTTATGAAATTCTGTAAAACCTAAGTGAATAATTAAATTGGGAGTTAAGAAAGGTGGTTAAAGGATCTCCAAATTGTGTTGTTTCTGTTATAATTTTCCCCTTGGAAATTGCCTCCAGATATTCTTTACCTTAGAGTCAAAGGATCAAAGGCAGGTTCACTTGGTGTGGTGAGGCAAGAAGAGAAGGGAAGGGATATTGAAGGTGTTAACTAAGGAGAATGTGGAGCTGACCCCTCACCTAATTCCCTCCTCACTCTCACCTGTCACCTCGATTGACCTTCTATTGTGGCTGATTTGGAGCAGGCGGATTCCCACAGCACTTACTCTCTTGGTCAGTTATACTTATTAAATGCATGATTTGTCAAAATCAGGCTGAATTCTTCCTTCTGCCACAGGAACTCACAGAACCTTTCAGCCTCTGGTATAGTAAAGAATGTTGCCTACTTTTTTTTTTATTTATTTATTTTTATTATAGTATGACCAGACACAATATTGTTATCCAGGAATCCTCTTGTGGGAAAATGAAGAAAATCAATTTCATTTCCCCAAAGGGGGACTAAAGTGTCTCAGGTCTGGCAGTTGCTCTTTTATCAGAGGAGTTTTGAATGGATTAAAATGAGAAGGACAAGAAATTGAGTGAAGATTCTGTATCTCAGAGCTGCCTTGGGATACTTCAAGAGTGACAGAGGGGCCCTGACATGGGGGACATGATTGAGTCTGCATCGACTCAGTTTATTACTATTGTATTGGATTAAAAAATAAGCGGTGTAACAGCCAAAGCGTCTGATGTGCACCGAAGGACTGTGTGCTTGTATTTAATTTGAAACCGTAGGAACATGACTCCCAGAACAAATCATAGTGAATATAAAACCAGCCATGACAGAGTTTGTGTTCTTTACCCATTTTAAAACAAGCCCTCAGTTATGGCCTCTGGTTTTTAGAAAATATACTTTTCCTTATTTATCATTGGGCATTATTTATATTCCTCTTTCCTTATTTTGTCCCTCCTGGGTGGCCTTGCCTTTGCTGGTATAGCTTTTATATGTTGTGGAACATGGGCATATTCATGATGCTAGTTTTTGTCTTGATTTAGTTGCTCCCAACTCTGGTCAAGAATAACTGAGAAAAGGTGGTGTTAGAGAAAGTGTTAACAAGAAAAGGAAGGAGCCTTGGTATTGATATTGGTTTAAAAATTTAAATGTATTTATAACTACTTTAACATTTTATGTTAATTACTACATTCCTTGATATACACTGCCTTTTGTAGTGTTTGGAATTTTGGTAGTATTTAAAAATGAACCTAAGAATAAGTCCCTATTGATTATTCAAGGATGTCTTATACTTGGTGCTTCTTATCTTCACAGTCTTTTTTATAGTATATATATATATTTAAATATATTTTATTGATTTTTTTACAGAGAGGAAGAGAGAGGGATAGAGAGTTAGAAACATTGATGAGAGAGAATCATTGATCAGCTGCCTCTTGCACCCCCCCACTGGTGATGTGCCTGCAACCAAGGTACATGCCCTTGACTGGAATTGAACCTGGGACCTTTCAGTCCGCAGGCCGACACTCTATCCACTGAGCCAAACCGGTTTCGGCTATCTTCACAGTCTTTTATTGACTACCTAAACAGTGTCTAAATACACTTCTAGCTTCCCTAGGCACATATAAATTCTTTATTTCTTTAGCTTATCAGTATTCTGTTTATATTATGTCAGTTAAAATGCACATTTATAATGTTTGCATGTCACCTTTATTCTTCAGTGTCTTTCACATGTTAGTCTTGCCTCTGATACTAAAATTACAAGCTCTTGGAATCAAGGAATATAAATTCTAATCTTTTAGTGTTCTTACACAGTATTCAGATTATGACCTTGGGTGCAGTAGGTGCTCTATAAATGTTACCACAGGATTTATGGGGTCAAGGCACTGACTGGGTAATGAAGAGAGATTGCTTTAACGTTGATATGTATATATTTTCATTGGTACTTTTAATTCATGTGTTTGTTAAAATGCACATCATGGCTGGAGAACTCTCTGGAGTGGTAAGTGGTTTTATACTGTTTGCAAAGGCTACTTTCTGTTTTTTTTTCTTTAGAAAACTGAATTTTGAGTTTAATCCCAGAAGCTATAATATGAATGTCATGTATTGATGAAAGACTACATCAAATATATTCACAAAAGAAAAGGTACTCTGTGAACTGGGGAGTGTGAGATTACCCAGCCCTCTCTGAGTCCAGGCTGGGCTGCATGCAAATTAGCATTTTGCAGTAGAAAAACCATGGACTGTGGAATTGGAGCTCTTCTCAAAACCTGGTTTCAGCTAATACTGGCATTGTGATCTTAATAAAGTTGTGCCTTTCTGAACACTCATTTTTATACCAGTAAAAATAGAAATACCCCCCCCAAAAAACAAACAAAACAAACAAACAAACAAACAAAAAACACCAAAAAAAAAAACAAACAGTAATAGCCCTGGCCAGTGATTCTCAGTGGTTAGAGCACATGTGTCAAACACAAGGCCCGCGGGACAAATCGGTCCCGCCAGGCCTTGCAATGTGGCCCGCACCGCGCTGTCATCACTGCACTCTGCTGCGTTTCCATCACAATGACAGTTTATGACTGTTCAGTAAACCTTTCGGCCCGCGATTTAGGCTGGATTTTAGATTTTGGCCCCTTCTCTGATTGAGTTCGACACCCCTAGGTTAGAGTGTCAGCCTGTGCACTAAAGGGTCTCAGGTTTGATTTCCTGACAAAGGCATGTTCTTGGGCTTCAGTTTTGATTCCCAGCTCTGGTTGGGGCACATAATCAATCATGTGTCTCTCACTTCATTTCTCTCTCTTTCTCTCCCCTCCCTCTTCTTTCCTCTCTCCTTCCCTCTCTCCTTCCCTCCACTTCACTCTCTCTAAACAAAATCAATGGAAAAAATATCCTCAGGTGAGGATTAAGAACAACACACACACACACACACACACACACACACACACAGCCACATTCTTTATGGGATCTGTTGTGGAGGGTTAGATGGCATAGCACATATATGAGTACTGAGCACAGTGCCTGGCCCAAAATAGGCTCAGTAAATTGTTTTTATTAATAATTTTAAAAAAATTAACTTTCTCATTTCTAAGTCTCTCAACTGGTGTTTGACTTTCAGAGAAAGGAACCATCCCTACCATCCTCTTTGGTGATGGTGGCTCTCACTACAAGGAAATTTTTCCTTACCGCAGGAGCCTAGTTTGGTTCAGAACTTTTCTATTGCCAGTCCATATTTAGTAATCCAAAACATTCATTTAATAGGTCTCTTTATCTTTTTTAAAAATTATATCAATCTTTTTAATTTTTTTAGTCCTCACCTGAGGACATGTTTTTTGTTTTTTGTTTCAGAAAGAGAGAGGAGAGAAGAGGGAGGGGGGAGAGAGAGAGAGAAACATTAACATGAAAGAGAAACATAGATCAATTGCCTTCTATATGCACCCTGCCAGGGGTTTGAACCTGCAGCCTGTGTATGTACCCTAACCAGGAATCAAACCTACGACTTTTCAGTGTACAGGACAATGCTCTAATCAACTGAGCCACACTGGCCAGGGTAGGTCTTTATGTTAATAACCTGCCCACTTGTACGTTTCCAGCATTTTTCAAATGTTTTTGTTTTGGTAAAGCATTTCTTATTCTGATGAAATATATATATAACGTAAGATTTCCTATCCATACATTTTATGGAATGTAATTCAGTCTGTATTTCACCTCACCAAGGTAGTAGATGTTATCTAGTGACAAAGCTAGAGTGTGGTGCCAACCTCAACAGTGAATGGAGGGGAATTAACCTCTCTGGCCTTCTAGGTCTTTTTTAGGTACTCATTTGGCTCTGTGCTGCTGTAAGTAGCCAAAAACTTTAATAACTCCCTCCTCAGCCCCCAACTGGGGATGAAGAAAAGTGACTTGCTAGTTTCAGTACAATTTTTCATATATACTCAGAACCATGTAATGTCTTATCAGCTTTCTCTTTCTCAGGAAAAGGCAATTTCTGTTTTATCCATAAATTCTCTAACCTTCAAATTGTCTTCTTGGCTATCTAGTAAGCTCTCATCAAATACTCCCACAGCTTTCTTAGATGGTGGAGTTTAGGACCAAAAAAACACTAATAAGGAATGGCAAATATTGAGTATCCCAGAGGAGGTGGGGGGGTTGGTGCTTAAATTTTTTTCTGGCTTTTTCTCAACATGGTACTGGTAATTTGGCAGCCATATAATGTTGCTAAATATGAGAAGACTCGAAACATAGGTTTGAAGGGTAGAGATAGATTTCAGAGCCTGTATATGGTGGCTGGAATTACAAAACAGAGATCTTGAGATAAAACCTGGG